GAAGAACAACACAAAGAAGAAAAGAAAAAGAAGAAAAAGAACTCATTCTCAAAATTGTGCTGAGAAACAAGAAGCAATTTTTTTTTACTTCTTGTTTCTCTTCCAAAACTGTTTCTGGACACAAATTTTTGCAAAAATGTGCCCGGGAACAAAAAATTTACCAATTTAAATTCATTTTTGCTAATATTACGGAAAATCCAAAACTGGTACGCGTGTAATAAATTCATTTAAAATTTAATTTTTGGACCGTCAAAAATTTCAAATTGATATACTTATAATAATTTTACCCTAAACTAATATTTTTACTAAAAATTACCTTGAACTTGTACATTTGTGATAAATTTACCCTCTATTAATTTCAGTTAAATTGGATTAATACAAAAAAAAAATCATAAGCTAGTACACCTATGATAGATGGAAGGTAAATCCCAAAACTGGTATATCCATCAATTACCGCGTGCCATTTAACAAAGCAATTTAACAGTAAAATTTAACAGAAACTAACACAGGGTAAAATTGTCACAGATATACCAGTTTAGAGTTTTTTTGTGATCAAAAAAATTAATTTGGGATAAAACTACTATAGATGTACTAATTTAGAGTTTTTCGTGATGTTAACCCTAAAAAATTATACCGTAATCCATCAGAAAATGGGAAGACAAAAGAAAAAGAGAGAAAGAGAGAATCGTATGCTTCTAAAAAAGTAGAAAAAAAAATTCAAAGACGAGAGAGAGGAACTGAGCAAATCTTGAAACTCATCAGCAAGCTCTGATCTTTGACTGTACACGCGGGGCATTCAACTGAAAAGAAAAACGAGAAATCCCCGATTCCAGAGACTTCTTCCTCCTGCCTTCTCTCTCTCTCTCTCTCTCTCTCTCTCTCTCTACACTGTGCGCAACAGAAAATTTGAAATCGGTTTTTGGCGCCCGGGATCAGCGCGGCTCCGGGAGCACGATGGCCAACGTCTCCTCCCGCCGGAACCTCAGCTGCTTCGTGATGAACGCCTCGATCGCCCGCTGGAACTCCTCGTTGCTCATCTCCTCATCTCCGCCGCCGCCGCCGCAGCAGGATCCCGCCGCCCTCGGCCTCTTCTCCGCCTCCGGAGGCCGGTGGCCGCCGCGGCAGCACTCCTCCTCGTCGTCCTCCTCGTCCTCGTCCGCCGCCGCTGCGGCCTCTTCCTCGAGACCGACGGCGCCCCCGCCGCCACCGCCTCGAGCTCGGGCGGCCGTGCCGACTTCGCTGATGATCGCCTTGTCCTCGTACACGACCTCCTCCGCCTCACGAGTCGGCGGGAGCACGGGCCTGGCCCGGCTCTCGCTGATCTTGACGATCTCCTCGTACAGCTCCTCGACCGCGCCGCCGCCGCCGCCGCCGGCATGCCCGCGGGCGAAGGACCCGCCGGGCTTGGCCAGGAGGGCGACGATGATGGCGTTGCAGAGGGCGAAGACGAACAGCGGACGGGCGACGAAGCCGAGGAGGAGGAAGGAGTACTCGCAGGAGAGCCGCACGGCGAACGGGACGCGGGTGGAGACGCGGAGGAGGAAGAAGAGAGCCAACCCGAGCTCGAGCAGTCGGAAGGCCGTCAGCACCACATTGAAGCGGAAGTAGCTGGAGAGCGCGGTCGTCTGCTTCTCCGGCTTGCCGCCGGAGCCGGCGGGCTCCATGGATTCCGGCGAGAGAGAGAGAAGGGGAAGCTTGGAAGCGAAGATTTTTGGCCTTTCTTTTGTCTCTGCGGGAGAAGGTGATGCTCTTTTATAGGCGTGTCGAAGTCATACATAGACTAATGATATTATCTATCTTCTTTTTCTTGCAATTTTTTTTTGAGATAATGACAAAATTATAATTCATAAATTTTTTTTCAATGTACGGTACAGTTCCTGAATTTTTAATTTGTTCGATATGATTTTTGAACTTTTGATATATGTTCGATTTAGTGTCTGAACTACGCGAAAATATTCAATGTTGTCCTTCCATTAATTCAAGTTCAAAGACAGCATTGTACATTTTCATATGAACACTGCATTAAAATTTCATGGATCACATTACATATCAAGCTATAATTCAAGGACCACATTGACCACATTAAAAGTTCATGAATCATATTGCACATTAGGCCAAAGTTCGGGGACCATTTGTGTCATTTTCTCTTTTTTTTACTTTCCTTTTTTTCTTTTCCCTTCTTAGATGGTAAAATTAGGACGTGTGCTCGAACAAATATCGAATCGGGAAGATGCGTACGTTAGACTCACATGTACCGTGCCCATGTGAGACTTTTTGAAAACTATTGCTTGAATCGTCACGATCATCGAACCATATAAAATCAATCGACAAAAGAGCTTAGCATCATGATATCAGCAAAGCTAACTTTTCTCGATAATGCATGCGCCCGTTAATAATTAAGGAATATAAATTATGCGTCCCTCATCATTCGCGAGGTTGTAGTCTCGTATTTCTCAACTGAAATCCAAAAATTGCCCAACACAGAACCGATACGACTCGACATGTCAACAGGGTCGCAGGCACCGCAAGAGCTTCCGCCTCTCATATGGGATTTCAAGTCTCATCCTTGTCCTCCTCATGACATCAAAAGGGAAAGAAAAAAAGAGAAAAAAACATGAAGAACCAAAAGAGAATCCTTGTTACAAAGAGGGGCAAAGCATTCATGAGCCATCCATTATCCACTATGCAAACGAGGGCATGGAGTGTGCAAATCTCCCCCTAAGTTCCCACTAGGCCAGAAAAAGATGTGTGGATGGGCTCCATTTCCCCCCCCCCCCCCCCATAAATCTTGCATCTTCCGCTTTATTCCCCTCTCTTTCAGGTGAAATGTTTCAAAAAAAATACTTTGCATTCGCATGCCTTGTATAGATTAACTTATCTCAAAAGCAGAGGGAGGAGAGGAGAAAAGCAGAGCCACACTGAAGCAAAAAGGGTTAAAAAGGGGGGCGAAGGCTCTAGTGGTGGAAAACATTGCAGCTGTGGAATCCTAAACACACAGTCAATGCATAAAAAAACAAACAGAAAGAGAGTCGCCCTTGATTCAAGCAATGATGGAGATGAAAACCGATTTTGCTTGATCTGCAGCCCGACGAGACCCTTTTCGAGAGAGTGATTTGCTGATTCGAAGCAGTGAGCTTTTTCGAAAGGAGATAACGCGAATGCCCGCTTTCTTGCCTGTAAAGACAGTATAGAGAATACATGGAAAGCTTTGTGAAGGTACACTAGAGAGAGAGATTTGGTTTATGTGACTCTCATCGCATCTTGATCTGTGTCTTTCCTAATCCTAGAATTCATTTGATTACCTGGTGCTGGTTCACTACACTTAAAGGTGAGATTGACATCTCGTACGTTTCAAAGAGAATCCATCCTGTATGCAGAGAGGCAAATGGACCAGAAGAGGAGGGGAATAAGTTGCACATGAATTAGCACTGTGGAGCTTTTGAAGGAAAAATTGATGCCCTCTGATTGTGATGTGGCCTTTTCAATAATAGTAGCTTCTTTAGTTCATAAAGAAAAAGAATTGAAGAGCATCAAATGGGTATTTCCCACATCATGTGTTCTTTAGAACAGATTTCACTAGCGAGATAATGGCATTTGTAGTTCAGATTCCCTCGGTTTCGAATTGCATCCATCCCTTCGTAATGTAGATATTCCTTTTCAAATATGACCTTTTTACCTTTGCTGCGAGGCCCCTCAAATGCTCCGGCGTTTTGAATGACAGTTTGAATTAGAGAACAGTGCGTTCTGTATGTACAGACTAAGTACCTGGTTCGTATAGGATGGTGTGGACATTAAAGTCCTGCACTGAATGAATAGGATGAAAAGTTGAAAAGCAACTTTCGGAGCCTTTCCCCTTTTTCCCCTTGACGAGATTTGTTGAAATGAGGGTTCGAAACAAGCAACATTTCAAAATTGGTCTTGTATAGCAATAAATCAATGTGAAACTGCAAAAGTGCAAACAGCTTCATAGCAAACAGCTGACAGATTTTGGAAACGTCCACAAGAGCAGAAACTCATAAACATCATCCATTCATACTATTTGCAGCTAGCCTAAGGGTCAACAAGCAGCTAATCAGAGAGAGAGAGGATACCTCTTCTCAAGGTATTTACTGTCGTTAACTCTTTATATTTACATGGAAACCCTATAGCTTTCCACATAAAAACCCACCGTTTACAGCTCCCAACGCGCCTTCCCATGCTACATGCAGCCTGTGCTCTTTTCAAGTCCTCAATGTTTATCATCCTCGCTGAAATCTTACAGATCTGATACAACTTGTGGGTCTGATATGCGATGAAACTTGCAGTTGACGGGCTCTGGCTCAGGATGATTTCATAACTGGCTCGTAATAGAGACAAGGCTTTCAATTAAAAGTTGCCAGAGTGAGCTTCCTGCGACCGCTCTGTCTCTTGGAGCCAAAGCTTGATAGCGTACTGCGTTGACGAGCTGATCTTTCGGGTGAGTGCTGAAACCAGGATCCCTCCACGATTGACTGAACTCGGTCAGGAAGCTGATGGCTTCCTGAGGATGTGCTGGGCATCTTGAGTGCGTGTGTTGAGCCAGTGTTCAAGAGCGAAATAATCAGCAAACAGAAACAAAGCAAAACTCTACTATCATAAGACTGCTTGGCACGTCCCGATGCATAGGTTCTCAGGAAATGGGGAGAGGGTTACGTATGCACCCTTACCGTGATTTTTCAGAAAGGCTGCTTCCTCGACTAGAAACACGATAAAAAAAATTTCCCAACTGCTTCAAATCGCAGAGTTATTTAGTTTACCATTCTCACTATATACTAAACTTAATCAAAATGGAGTGAACTTTTAGTTCGAAAAGGTACAGAAGTTCTCTTTTTCTCATATTATTTCATTTTTCACCCAATCCTTTTGAACATGGAAGAAATAAATCAGTATCCCGTGCTTAGAAATATTGTAAGAGATTCAATGACGTAAAATTTCCTCACAAAATACTCTGACAGTGAATTACCTGAAAACATTTATTCATATTAGGAACCGGAAGAGTGTTGTAAAGGTCTGTAACCACCATCAGTGAAAGCCCATGTTCTTGCAACAGTGAGGCCATGGCTTGAAGCTTCACGAATGCAGCTGCATTTTTATACATCTGAAGGGTCAGAAGCTGTGTACATCAACCAATAGGTATTGAAGCCACTGGCATAAGCAGCGGTTCCACTCAGCATAAAATGTATTCCTCTGGTTCCCCAAAACCATCACCTGCTTCTACCTGGACAAATAATCGAGCTTGGCATATGAAAATAGCTAGAGAAGAGGCAATTCAAAATGCTTCATTGTTTAAATTCCTCCTGAAGAATGTAATTACTAAATGCTCGAGAATTGTAAAGCAGAGAAGAGGAAAGAATGATAGTATTTATAATTAGCAAATGCAGTTGAGCTTGACTATGGTTAAAGACTATAAAGGAACTGTCTTTACTTTATGAAGGTGAATTTATCCATATTTCTACTGCTACAAACAGAAAGCATATGTATGGAGAATTTGACACCAAGTCTATTAAGCCAGTACGGGAGAAGATGGGAAAACTGTCTACCTGGAGTAACCAACGGATTTTTCAAGCTGCAATTTGATTGGAACCATGCAGTGTAAACGTCATATCATGCATCAATTCGTAAATCATCCATTCTTCCAGCAACAAGGCAACCAAGCAAAATGCAACCTCCACATACCTGTTGCTTTAGACATATTGGGCAAAATCAGCTTTTCCTGTCGCGCCTTTTCTGCTGCCAACTCTGGTAACTAAAAATACTGGTAAAGAGCCCATCAAAATGGAACAGTGAAAGGATGCTCCGTTTAAGTCCTCAACATCATTCATGAAGGAAGCCGCATCCTCAAGACTAGTTTCTCCCAAAAAAATTCAGAACGTTGCATAGTTGTTCACTTTGTAAATGAGATCTGTCACCAGCCACAAATGTGGACACACAGTCCTTCACCATAATCCAAGAACATCAAGTTCCAGCACAGCTTTTGTAAACTTTGTTTTTCCCCGGCAAGTTGTATAGCAAATAAAAGTCCAATAGAGTTTAAAGGTGAAAATAATGCAGAAACAGATCCATCCTGGAAAATTATCAATAATACAGACCCTCTCTTACAACGATCTAGTAAAGAAAAATAATGCCTTTTCAGCCTTTTTATGATTAGAACATCTGAATATCAAAAAGAAAGAAAAAGTGCCTCCCTTTAAATTACGAAATATCCACAACTTCTACAGCCAACCTTCATAAAGTTATTCCTCAAAACTCAATTGGAAAAAAAAACACTTCAAAAAAAGTGTCTCAATCACTCGTTATCATGAGCTTCCTCAGAAAACGTGATCCTATGTCAATTCCATTTAATAGAATCAACCCAGTTGAGAAAAGAAAAAATCCCTATAATCCCTTAAGTCTGAAAGACCATCATCCTGCTTCAAACTTCCAAACCTTAGTTTACCGAGAGGAATCCTGGAACGAAGATCACAATCTCAGCACTAAGTAACCTATGAATCGTCAATGTGCTTAAACTCTTACCGTCCACTGATGTGGAAACCGGAATACTATGTGACAAATCTCCAGCATAATTAGTATGCGACAAAGGGGAAAAAAGTTATCTTCTCACGCTGTAGGGGCTCACCTTTGAGAGAGCAATCCCCTCCCGAAAACCAAAAGCCCTGCAGTATGCTTAGGAGACTTTTGAGTAGTGGACGATTTGATGACCTCATACTGCTTCGAACTTTGAGATAGGCTCCAAAATGATTCTTTCACAAAGGACAACTAGCATATTCCACGCCGTTGTCAGTTGTTGCTCATGACCAGCAATGGTTTCCCCACATATCTGTGTCGTCACAAGATCTAGCCAGTCAAAATTAATAGAGCTGACCTCAACTGTAATGAAAGATCAAGCATTGCTTCCTCAATCTCCAACATCATCCAGAAATATATCCACATCATTGACATCAATTTCACCCAGACTCAAGAAATCCAAATTATTGTATATTTCTTCACATTCTAGATGAGTCCTGTCACCAGCTACAAATGTAGATACACGATCTTTCACCTTGATCCAGGACCATCCAGGCTCCTTAATTACTCCCTTAGACTTCATCGTCTTCCTTATATCTGCCGCTTCCCTCCATCTCCCTTGGGCAGAATATATGTTAGCCAGCGTAATGTGAGTTCCAGCACAATGTGGATCGATCTCAAGAATGTGCTCAGCAGCGCACCTTCCACGGTCAACATCACCATGGACTCTGCATGCTCTCAACAAAGTTGACCAAACAACATCATCCCGTTTGAATGGCATGATTTTGATAATGTTCTCTGCCTCAATTAGGCGACCAGCACGACAAAGGAGATCAATCATGCAGCCATAGTGTTCCTTTGTAGGAATGATCTGGTGCTTCACGCTCATTGTATCAAAATAACGAAATGCAAGATCAACCAGCCCGGCATGGCTACAGGCCGTAAGAACACCAATGTAGCTGATAGGGTCCGGTCTCAAGCCCACTGCAGGCAGTTTCTCAAATAAATCAATTGCTTCATGGCTGTATCCATGTTCAGCATATCCATTTATCATTGCCGTCCAAGACACGACATCATTGTTTGTTGCCACATCAAAGATTCGTGATGCTTCTTTTACACTCCCGCATTTGCCATACATGTTAATTAGAGCACTTTGTATCATAGACGTATGTTCTAAACCAATCAGCAGGACATGAGCATGCAGCTGCTTTCCTGAATCAAGGATAGCCATATTTCCACACACACTCAGGATGCTAGCAAGAGCAAACTCAGTTGGCTTTGGTCCTTCTCTTCTCATTAGTGATAGAAGCTCAAAAGCATCCTCACCGCATCCTCCATTTGAATACCCCGCGATCAATGTGCTCCATGAAACCACATCCCTCATTGTCATTTCATTAAAAACAATTGAAGCCGAAGTCAACTGTCCACACTTGGAGTACATTGTCATAACGGAGTTTGCCACAGAAAGAGAACTGAAAAGACCTATGCATAGAACATGGGCATGCAATTGTTCGCCCCAGTCAATTTTGGTGAGATTGGCACAACCAGATATAACTGCAGCAAATGTGTATGCATTAGGGCTAGCATCTGATTCTCGCATCTTTAGAAAAGCTCTGATGGCAGATTCCTCCTGACGCATCTGAATGTATGTAGTAATTATTGTGGTCCAAGAAACCACATCTCGCGTTGGCATCCTTTCAAACAATCGCAATCCATAATCCAACTTTCCACACTTGTTATACATTGTCGCGAGGGTATTGGCAACAAATGAGGTTTCATCGAATCCTTTCTTTACAGTGTGAGTGTGTATCTCCCTCCCCTGGTCCAAAGCACCCAAATCAGCACATGCCTTCAGCGCAATGGCAAATGTATATGTATCACATTGCACCTTCGATCTCCACATTTTGGAGAAGTACGACAACCCCTCCCTACAATTACCACTACGAACTAGTCCGGTGATGATGGCGGTCCAAGAAACGACATTTCTCAGCGGCATCTCATCGAAGACCCAACAACCTAGCTCGGTTCTGCCCGTTTTAGTATACATGTCCAAAAGGGTACTACCCACAAAAACGGAGTTCTTTAGTCCCGATTTCACAGCATACCCATGTAATGACTCGCCAAGTTTCAGATTCACGGCGAGTCCACAGGCCTTGAGCGCGAGACTGAGGATGAAAGGGTCCATCTTGAGCCCCGGCGCAACCCACATAGTCAAGAACAAGCCCAGAGCCTCGCCGGCTTTTATGGCAGCGACATATCCGGAAATCATCGTGGTCCACGAAATCTCGTCCCGGCGAGGCATATCGTCGAACATCCTGCGAGCATCGCTCAACTGACCGAGTTTCACCAGCTCCTTCAATCGCGAGTTAACCTCGGGCATGCTCGGACGACCCGCCACATCGGACTCAGCAGTGGCAAAGTGATCCGGCATCGTCCCTTGGAACAGGACACGTCCGTGATCAGCGCATGGCATGCTCGAGCTCGAAAACATCCTCCAAACGCGAGGCCTGCCTAGCGAGCTCATCATCGTCCTATACAGGCACAGCCACGTGACCCCATCGAGTCGGAAGTTTTTCATTCCCTTACGTTTTACTGGGTCCTAAGATTGAAGTCGCAAGTGGTGCGACCTATGTTGATCAAGCCATGGAGCTCTTGTATGGAATCCAGAAAACAGTGACAAGACGTAACGTGACCGACAAATAGACCCGTCAAACGGGTGGTCCTAAAAGATACATTTAACCCGATACATATTCGGGTACTTTCATATTTAATCAAATTTAGAAAAATTCATACTCAGTTTGAGTTTAGAGTGCGGAGGGAGCAAGCGTGAAATCGAGTGAGGGCGAGAAAGAATGAAAAAAGAGTTATAGAGGTGGGTTAGATCTAAGTAAGTTATAATTCCATTTAGCACTCATATTATGTTGGGCTTTACCATTGTAAGGGCTCGTTTAGTTCAACTTTGCAAATAAGCCTTGGGGGAATGCAAAAACCTTTAGGTTAAAACTCCTTAGGGAAATGCAAATAGCGTTTGGTAAAAAATTCTTTTTGAAGCTACTTTGGGCCAAGTAGTGTTTGGTTTTTTTTTTTTTGCAAAAGGCTTTAGGACCCTTTTTTTATTAAAAAAAAAAGTTACCCTTCGTTGGAGCCGGAGAAGGGCTACGGTCACCGGCGAGCTAGATCTGGCGCCAGCAGCCATCGCTCGAGGTCGAGCCATCGTCGGTGAGCAAGATCTGGTGATGGCCGCCTAGGTCGTGCGACTCTAGGCGACCTCACCGGCCCCTTGCCGGCCAGATCCGGTGTCGTCGGCCGCCCTCACTGGTCACCCTCACCGGCCGCCCTTTCGTGAAGAAGATGAACAGTAACAATAAGGTCAAAACTAGAATATTAAAGAATAAGTGAGGGTAATTTGGAAAGAAAAAAAATTAGGTTCAACATTTGCCAAATGTTGGCTTTTGGCCGAAAGCTCATTGGGAATACTTGCCAAACGCCTAACATTTTCCCAATGGGCTTTCGAGGCCGAAAGCCCCTTGGGAAAGCTAAATCAAACGAGGCCTAAACATATTTATTACTCATTTATAGAATATAACTAATTCATATAATAATTTAGCCTATTATATGTAAATTAAAAAAAAATAACTTTATAATCTATTTTGATAGGTCTACTACAAATGACGACGAAGAGAAGGAGGCCCTTATCATATACGACCTGTCATCTACTAAAAAGGAAGGAAAAGCTGAGAGGCCGAAGCACAGCCCAAGCAAATTTGGCCCATGAAAACCGTCAACAACAAATGAAAGAGAGATTGGTCGATGTCGACGACCGGTTGAAGTGATCATGTTTATAGGTTGTCACAATGCAGTGCAGTATGTGGCCATCGATGGCAGGATATCTCCGAGGATCAGGTTTTCAGGGGATCGGCGATCATTGAATCAGGAAATATTGGTAGATTAGGTTTATACTAAAGGGCATAATTGTCATTGTATTGTTTTTAGCCCTAAACCCTATGTATATATATTGTAAATTGTTTCATCAATGAAAGCAACGTTTGCCCAAACTCTACATGGTATCAGAGCAGTGATCCTCGAAGCTCGTCTCTCACGTCCCTTAAGCAATATCTAGTCCTCCTCTGATTCGGTCAAATCGATTGATTCGCCGGCGTGGTTTGATTTCTCAGTGTCATCTTTGCTTTCGTCCAGCGGTATGGTTTTGCTTTCTCGTCAAAATTCTTGAGATCTTGTTTGCCAGTGTTGATCTTTGCCTCCCGCGAACCTATCTGCAATTTGCTGCATCCTCGCTGATTCGCCATCGTTGCTGCCTTGGTCCTGACGTTCCTCCTCATCGGTCGCCACAAGTCGCCATGGTAGACAATTCTCAAACCTCTTCAGCCATCGCTCCTGCACATGAGCAGAACGGCCCTTATTTTATGCATCCTTCTGATAACCCTGGATCTAATCTCGTCGGCATGGTCTTTACGGGTGATAATTACAACAATTGGTCTCGTGCCATGGAGATTGCCCTTTCCGCCAAGAACAAGATGGTATTTGTTACTGGAGAAATCAAAAAACCAGCCGCAGCCGATCCTGCCTATGCGTCATGGATTCGTGTTAACAATATGATTCTATCTTGGATTCTTAAATCCATCCATCCAGATTTGGTGCCAACGGTTCTCTACACAGAGTCAGTTGCGGATGTTTGGGCCGATCTCCGCGAACGTTTTTCGCCATCGAATGGTCCTAGGGTTTTTCATCTTAAGCAAAAGATATGCACCCTTGCACAACATGACGATGCCGTGATCAAGTACTTCAACAACTTGCGAAGTTACTGGGATGAATTGAATAATTTGGATCCGTTACCGCAATGCTCTTGTTCAACTCATTCTATCATTACCAAACAACAAGAGAATCGACGATTGTTTCAATTTCTCATGGGTCTCAATCCGAGGTACGCTAATGTTATTAGTCAGATTTTACTAATGGATCCATTACCTAGTGTTGCACGCGCATATGCACTAGTTCTTCAGGATGAGTCGCACCGCCATATCCAATTGGATCGCCCACCGTCCGATCAGACCAACAAGTTGGATGTGGAGAAGGTCTTTCACATGACAGGAGGTGTTGGCAACACTAGCTATGCCAAGAACTCTTCGCTTCAGGTCTCTCTCTCTCAAAATAGGACATTTTTTTCATGCCTCACGATTTGATTTTATTCACTTCAGTAACTCTCTCTCTCTCTCTCTCTCTCCACAGAAGAAGGCATCTGATATGGTGAAGAGCATAACCATGGAGGCAGTGCAACAAGTGTACCTGAGTCTCATGCCAGAGAGCATTGGAATAGCTGACTTGGGGTGTTCCTCGGGACCCAACACCCTGTCCATCATCAGGGATGTGATTGAGGCAGTGCAAGGGACAAGCCAAAGGGTCACGAGTCCAACCCCAGAGTTCAGGGTCTACCTCAACGACCTCCCCACCAATGACTTCAACTCCATCTTCAAGGCCTTGCCAGATTTCCACAGGGAGCTCAGAGAGGCAAGAAGGAGAGAGGGTGGGCTTTGTCATCCTCCTCTGTACATGGCAGCTCATCCAGGGTCCTTTTATGGGAGGCTTTTTCCCAACAAGTGCTTGCACTTTGTCTATTCATCCTACAGTTTGCACTGGCTCTCAAGGGTAACAAGATACTATCCTCTCCCTCACTTTTTTTAGCCCTGTTCGGGTCACCGGTGAGAGCCTCACTTGTCACTACACCCATTTTGATACCATTTCAAGGAGAATCTTGAATTTTATAGCATAACATCTTGATTGAGCTGAGTCCCATTTTTCGTACCAGTAAGTGGAAGAATTATGCCAATGAAAAAGGATGAAAAGGACCACCGACCGAGAAAGAAAAGGGCACACTTATGGGTTTGGTAGCCCAAATTGTATCGCTTATTGCTTCTAAGTGGCATTTTTAGGATAATAAAGGCATGATGTGCTTAACTTACTATCTGCAAATGACGAAAAAACATCTTATCATCGGATCAAACTGCCCAACTCACATGTCCTTTTTTCAGGTCCCTCCGGCACTCTGTGATGAGAACAGAGAACCAATCAACAAGGGCACCATCTACATCTCTGAGTCCAGCCCTCCCTGTGTAGCCGAGGCGTACTTGCGGCAGTTCCAAGAGGACTTCACATCATTCCTCCACTTGAGATCTGAAGAGCTGGTGTCTGGAGGCAGAATGGTGCTGATCTTGCTCGGCAGAAGGGGCCCCCACCATGTTGATAGAGGCAACTCTTTCTTCTGGGAGCTCCTCTCAAGAAGCCTCTCCATGTTAGTTGCAAAGGTAACCTCAATTCCTAAGGCATCTTCAAGCTCTTTTCTATTTTAACGTCAAGTACTACGGTATGAATAAAATTGTGCGCCCGTTTTCTAATGGCTTAAACTTTTTGGAAAGAATGGTTTAGTCTAACATGGTGCCAGAGCACAAGTCACTGGATCGAATTCTAATGCTCCTTTTGATTTTCTTTTCGATGTCTGTTGTTCTCGTTACGCCATCCGCTTTTCCCGCCTCTTGTTGTCTGTATGACGTGCTTACGTCCACATCCTGTGCTGTCATGTGTAATATCGGACTTATCTTGAGTAATATGTATACAAATGTTTTTGCCCGTATTCTATTAGTTAAAAGTTTAGAAAAAGAATGTCTATAATTAAAAATTGTACTCGGTTGTGATTTGTGTCTCGACAAATTCAATTGTTTCTTGATTCTTTCAGGGAGAAGTGGAAGAGGAGAAGCTGGATTCCTATGATGTGCACTTCTACGCACCTTCCGAGGATGAAATGGAGCGCGAGATCGAGAGAGAGGGGTTGTTCCGATTGGACCGCTTCGAGACGTTCGATCTTGAGAGGGAAGAGAGAGATGGTGTGAGCTACGGAAAGGCGGTGGCAACCACTGTCAGGGCCATCCAGGAGTCCATGATCTCTCACCACTTTGGTGAAGGGATTCTGGACGGCCTATTTGAGAACTACGCAAGAATCTTAGATGAAGAAGCGGCCAGAGAAGAGATCAGGCCTGTCACTTTCCTTTTGGCACTCACAAAATTATGACTGCGCTTCAGTAACGCGGGCAAACACTCGCCTCGACAGATCGGGTCCATCGCAGCTGTCAATCTCGCAGCGTTCCAATAGAATCCAGTCATCTGCGAAAGCATGTAGTCCGTAGACCCGGATCGAGGAATCATCTGGTAGCATAAGAGACCCAGAATCTAGGAACTAGTTATTGTTTTGTGCTTTCTGCTGTACTCACTCACTGCCCAGTACTCTTGCATCAGGAATTTAGGAATCTCATGAAGCTCCAATTGCATGTGCATGAAATCTCACTCTCTATTTTTCTTCAGCTCTTTTGCATTCCCTTCTTCTTCCCCTTTTTTTGTGCAAGTTGAATGAAGATCTCATAACCCAAAACTCACCACAGCACAAACTTCTTCTCCAGCGTCACAAAGGTTCAGTCAATCACAGATGCATCTGTTAATAACACTAATTAGCAAAACTTATTTCCTCAAAGACCTGTTCAGAACCCAATTAGCAAAACTTACTGCATCTTCCACTCTCGATCGGTTGATTGCACTTTTGAAAGTTTGACAGTTAGCAGAAGGCTGATCGGTTGCGTTCCAACCAAATGCACCCATAAAATAACACTAATTTCCTCAAAGACCTGTTCAGGTTCCTGCTTATCACAGAAGTCAGGT